TGATATTAAAGAATACATATTGTGTCTTTTCACGGCTGATTTGTAATCTTGGATTCTAATTCGAAGGGGACGCCTACTTTGGCCGATGTAATGCTTGTTGCAGTTCATACAGTTTATTTTGTAAATGGTATTAATTTAATCTCCTTTTTCTGTTGGATCTTTCTGTTTGCATAATATCGAATTAAGCGATTTTACTGGCTTGTGTGCTATATTTATATCAAACGGTTTCAGTATTCTAGCTGTTATTTCAGAGATATTTTTCATGGATGGTAGACTGAATTTTCTTATGGTCTTTGATGATGGTTCTTTGTTGGTGTTTTGATTCGACTTTAAACACTTTTTGGTGAAATTCTTTCTGAAGACCGTTTGTAGGTATTTTTCTTCCATTCTTTTCAACTCTGGAGTGCTACAATTTGTTTGAACTCTTTTAAACAATGTCTGCACACAGTTTCCTTTGTGTTTAATTGGATTATTGCTAGTATAGTTGAGTATTTGATCGATGTGCGTTGATTTTCTGTATACGGGTTTTAATTTTTGAAGAAATCTATTAAAGATTTAGCTGCTTTCATAGTATCATGATTTCAGAAAATTACAAGAAAGTGAATTTTAAAGAGAGGTGATGTGACATATGTGCTGTTGTTCAGCACTTTGTCTCAGTCTGATGCATCGATTCTGGTTTCACACCAGACTTGTATACCGTAGATACCTTTGATGATATCATTATTAAGTGTTTTATTTGTACTGCTTAGTTATTATTATTTATTCTTATTCTCTTGCGTTCCAAGCGGAACATCGGGATTCAACAACACATCTCCAATTTCTTCTATTTTCCGCCATCCTCTTCATCTGAACCCACTATTGACCAAACTATCTCATCTCTTCCTCACACGATCTCCTCCATATCACCCTAGGTTTACTCACTCGTCGCTTCCCATTTGGATTTCACTCGAGGGTCTAGCGTGCGATGTCATTCGGCGGCCTCCACAATGTATGCCCAATCCATCTCCACTTTCTCCTGCATATTTATTGAGTGATCGGCTCTTAGTTGGTTTGTTCCCATAGATTCTTGTCGCTTATTCTTCCTGACAGGCCATTTGGTCTTTAGTATGGAGGCAATGAATTTGGCAGCTGTTGATGGAAGTCTGCAGTGGCCTGTCGGAAATCCTTTTCATGACACGCAGCGCAAGTTTCTGATGCACATAGAAGAACCGACTACACGTTTCTGTTGAAAATGCGAATCTTGTTCTTTATGCTCAGTCAGTGCGGAGGATTTCCAAACCGGTTACAGGTTGATTAAGGCATATCTGCTCTTTCCGATTCTGGCTGGCTTTGATATATTCATCCGTCCTGACTGCGTGTAGTTGAAACGATGCTGGCTGCCTAGATAAGTGAAGGAAGTAACCTCTGTTAAATCTCTCCCGTTGATACTGATTGGTGCTGTTTGTTGTTGCTGTTGCTGTTCGTTGATTATCTTCATCATCTCCGTCTCCTTCTTCTCTATGTTCAGTTGGCGTCCTGTCTTCACTGCCAGCCCCTTCCGCCAGTTTGTCGGTTTTCGCCCGTAAATCTTCGAGTTTGTGTGACATTAGATATATATTATCTGAGAAATCCATATCTTTTAGGGTCATCTTATCGGTCATCCAGCTTACTTTTGTACGCTCACTCCCAAGCACAGTCTCACGCATAATCCAGTCCACTACAATCAAGAATATCACCGACGATAATAGGCAGGCAGCCTTGTCTTATTCCTGTATTCACTTCGAACGTCTCGCTGAGTTTTCCACTGTGGATCACTTGACACGTGCTTACGGCTAAGTATAAGTACATAATATCTTCAGTCAGCTATTCCAACTGATCTTAAAATAACTATCTATCAGACGATCATTTTCCTGATTATCTCGTGACTGTATTATTGGATCAAGTTTTCCCATGCCATCTCCTTCCGAGTGGAGCATAGGACGTCGAAATTTAGGCTATGAAGTTCATGTTGCACACATGTTTTACCGTACGGGTGGGTTTATCAGCCTGAAGCCTCCTAACCTTCCCTCTTTTCTACAGCCTCCTACCGCCTAGGCGAGATGTGAATTAACAGGAAAATGGAATCACTGGCGCTGCAAATCAGAATATAAAGCAATAGGTTACCAGCTAACTGAGGTGTAACCATAATATCTCAGTTAACCGCAGATACCAATTTTAATCAGTTCTGTTTAGTATGATTAGAAAGTTGTTTTCAATAGCAAGTACATAAGTTTGTGTTTAACCAGCTCAGATTTTATAGCTCTGACAAAAATAAATAAACCATAAATGCGAATCGGCGAAGTATTCGAAAAAAGAAAAAATGACAGTAATCCAATGTTTCGCTTCTCTTTCTTTCTCATTTTTATCACGAAAAACATATTTTATAGTCCAAAACACTTTTGTCCTATTTTCTAGGTCACATACAATTTTTGTGTGTGATTCTTTTTGATGTAAATTGATAAACTAGCAGAACAGGCGACATTTATCCGTAGATAAAAAAGGAACATCTAAAACCAAACAGACACGATTATGATTCTATTTCACGGTATTTATGAAGTTGGTTTGCTTGTCTTCAGAAATAAAAAAGATTCAGTCTATACACTTTTATGTTCGTTTTAAAACATTTTTAAAGTGAGTTTGTTTCAAACCAGTGATAAAGTAACACAACCATGAGTTAGAATATGAAATTTTCAGGTATACAGAATGTACAGTACCAATAAATAAATAAATGACCTTTATGTCAGCTCAAGTTATTTCTGACTGCTAAGCTCAGTTTCCGAGTTCCTGCTCGTTTGTTTCTTGAATATGAAGTTCCATATTTCTAAATAACATGCGATTTAGACATCGTTAATTCCGAGCTATTCATATCACCCATCAGGATTCTGATATCGCCATTTGGGACGTTGTCCACTGCTGTTTGTAGTTGTCTGTAGAAGGCCTCCTTCTTCTCTTGTTCTGACACGTTTGTAGGCGCATAGCACTGAATCATTGTTACCTTCCTTCCTTTTGAGTTGAACCTGGCTGTCATTATCCTGGAGGAGATTGGTTCCCACTGCCTGGGAGCTTTAGCTGCTGTTGGTGACATCATGATGGCCACTCCCTCGGTGTGCTCGTGGTTGTCCTCTGGGTGACCGGAATAGATTACTGTCTCTCCAGTTGATAGTTGGCACCTTTCACATCCGTTCCATCGGTTATCACAGATTCCCAACACTTCTATTCCATATCTTCTCATTTCTGCAGCTACCTGGGCAGCCTTTCCAGTTTCGTACATTGTACGAACATTCCACGTTCCCATCCTTATTTTTGCTTCCATCGAAAGAAGGCATATCGGCTGACTGGCTTCCCGAAGGCTTTCACTAGCCTGCATCATTTCACTTCTTCGATTCCAGCGAAAAATAAAGTTACTGTTTATATTTTTAGTATTTTTAATATGTTTGTGCGTTGAAGTTTCTGTAGCAATTTGGTTAAGTTTTGAGGATGAATTTGCTAGCACCACACCCCAACCCTCCCTCCTTATCCAGGCTTGGGACCAGCTAGAAAACTAGTGAGCTAGTAACCTAAAAGACCTGGATTTCGCGCGTGGATGATTTATGTTTGATGTCACACAGTATCGAGGACTTACAAGCGAATACCTACAAATTGGTTGAAGAAGCAGCAAACACAGGACTCCAGGTGAACATAGACAAGACAGAGGTTATGAAAATAACCAACCAACAACAACAACAGCAGCTGCAACATCCACCGCCAATCACCATCAACGGGACGAATTTGAAAGAGTTTACTTCATTCAATTATCTAGGGAGCATTGTCTCAACTACAGGCAGGTGGAACGGACGAGGATGCGAAATCGAGCGAGAATCGGGAAGGCGAGAAACACATTCATCAACCTGAAACCAATCTGGAAATCTTCATCGCTCACCATCAACAACAAATTTCGGATTTTCAATACAAACGTCAAGTCAGTCAGTTCTTCTATACGGATGGATCAGAAACTTGGCCAGTGGGTCACAAAGAATATTTCCAACAGCCTGTTGCAGTCCTTTATCTATACTCAAGATCAGATGGCCGGAAAGAATCACCAACAAGAATCTATGGGAACAGACAAAACAAGGACCAATCGCTCAACAAATATGCAGGAGAAAGTGGAGATGGATTGGACACTCACTCGCTGAGGAGACCACTCGCTGGGTGACATTGCGCGTCAGGCCAATGCTCAAGTGGGCCGTCCCAGAGTGACATGGAGGAGATCGTGTGAAGAGGAATTGAAACAGTATGGACTAACATGGATGCAGGTGAAATGTACAGCAGAAGACAGAAGCAAGTGGAGACGTGTAGTTGAATCCCTATGTTCCACTAGGAACCCAAGAGAATAATAATAATTCCGAGCTAGGTTTCAAGAACGGGCTGATTCCATAAGAAACTTCATTCATATTACAACTCATTGGCTGAATAATAACGTGCTAGATTCTACATTTGTTTTCTGTCAGGGTTGTAGGTATGTGCTAGTGAAGAGTCCCAGCCTGCGATGAAATAGCTGACTAGTGTCAGTTTGGTTTTCAATGGTTTTATAATAGACCAATATTAATTTGCAACAACACAATCCACCTTGAAGTAAGGATAACGTGTAAAAAATGTATTGCCATATTTGAGTGTTTGACTGGGCCAGTGTAAGTCTTTCCAAACTGATTTCAGTAGACTGAAATTTTGTGGAGAAAACTTATTGAATTTCAGTCGTAATGAAGAAGATGAGAGAAGATTTAGCGAAGAAAAAATGTTTTAATCGACAAAGGTAGTAGGACTAATCAGTTTGTTGGTGTCTATGGATGTTTTGCTATCACAATTATCCGGGCAGTACAAATGCTGCGCTGGAAGCTGTCTGGGTTGTGATTCTAAGACTGTGATGTACTCTAAAGCTGAATGCTGACGTTATTGTCAAATCAGAAATCATGTTTTCATGACCTCAGTATTGATGGCTATCTTACATGAACTATTTAGGCATTACTTTAATTGATATGAAACAACCACCTATTCGTATTTTGAGACGACCATGTCCACATCCATCTGAGATTCAAAAAACACTACAGAGGCCAACTGTCGTCAATAAAACTCTTGAACAAAGAAAGGCAGATTATGCCGCTGCAAGGAAAAGGATTATGGGGTCCACGACTCCGAATCCAGCTGAAGTGGAAACGAAAGATTCAGTAGAGTCTGATACTACGAAGATAACGGAGGATTTTAAAAATCCAACTTTAAAGAAAGATTCATGTATCCCGACTATCTCTACTACAACGCAGAATACGGAGGTTAGTGCTCAGAAAAGTCTGTCAACTGAAATGTCAGTAAATCGCTTGCAAGCTAATCAGAATGGAGCACAAATCGCGTCTCTTCAGAATTACAAACAGCCTCTAGAAGTTGCTGCCAACCAAAAGCATCAGCAGCATGCACAGTCTACATCAAATGGTGTTCGACAGAATCTGGTAACTCACCAACAGCGCAGTGCAACAGTATCTGCCAATAGATTATCTTATTTTTCTCAACCCTCACCTCTTTTTTCTTATCAAACTGGATACAATAATGTTGCTCTTCTTCCTACACCCCTTGGTTTTCAGTGTTCGCTTAAGAATCGAACAAATGCTGGTCTGCAACAAACGACTGCAATCGCTCTAATACATCAATTCAATTTGCTACAACAGCAATATCAGTAAACTCTAACTGGATTTCAGAAACAGTTGGTATCTTCTGGAGCTCATTCGTCCACAGTGAAGGAATACACATATACACACATATGTACGCAGAAACTGAATTGTTATTTTACACTATAGTCCATCGAACCTTTTCAATGATTCCTTCTCTAGTGATGATGTACCTGCAGCATGGAAAGTCATTAAAATTATCCCGGCTTCCAAATCATGTAGTGTTGTGAATGTTAAATTCAGATCTATTGCAATTTTTTCTCCTTTTTTGAAATTAGAAAAAGAAAGACTTTTCTTCAACCTTAAACCTTTCTCGGGAAGTTTTTGAATGACCCCAAGTGATTTGCATGTTAACACGGTATAAGTACTCTAGATGCTGCTAATGTGTTAAATCCTAATATTGTTTCCTGCGTAGACGAAGGAGTCAGATGAGTTCTATGTACCTTCCTTGACTACACATTCTCTGTTGACTCTGTATCCAGCTTTCCCTGAGGCAAACCGAGTCCCGGGCTGTTAACCGGTTGTATTTTTATTTCTCGAACAGAATGAGGTATGCTCTATGTAAAGGCAAATCTTCATTGCTTTTCTTACAGAAGCTGGTATTCCTGAACTTTCTCTATTCTCTTCTTTTTTCTCTCTTCTTCAGTGTCTTTCCTCCTTCGAAAGAAACCAACCCCAATAAATACTCTGATGATTCCACTGTCTTGTCGCCAGTAACATCCCCATCTGACTGTTCTATACGGAATAGCTTCAGATGAAGAGTCCCGAACTAGGACGAAACAGCTGTCCAGTACTCCCAGGTTTTCCAATGGTTCTCTAACTGATGTCAGCTCATGATGAAATTATTACTATAATTGGATCAGAGACTTGGTGCGTCATAAAGAGCATCTCAAACAGACTACAGACCTTCATCAACAGCTGCCTTCGCTACAAACTCAAAATCAGATGGCCAGCCAGAAAAAATCAGCAACAGAGATCTCTGGCAATGAGCGAACTAATCAACCAGGAACCGATTGTGAAACAAATAGGCAGGCAGGAAGAAATGGAGATGGGTTGGCTGGCCAAACTCAGAGAAAACAATGCATCAAGTGATATCACTAGACAAGCCATTGCTCGAGTGGAACCCGAAAGAGAAACGGCGAGTTGGTCGTCAGTGCGAGGGTGAGTGACTTGGAGGAGGTCATGTGAAGAGGAGATGAAAGCATGTGGGTAGATTTGGAGTCAGGTGAAGACTGTAGCAGAGAACCGAACGCAATGGAGACACACGGCTGAATCCCTATGTTCTTTAGGAATTAAAGGAAACATTAATATAATAATACAATAATAATTACTATCATTTTAAAGTTTTTGTACATTCTGAAAAAAACCAATCACTATTATTATTGTAAATGGTCATATTTGGTGAATAAGTGAAATATGTTAAACGGTATGAAAATAAGTTTATGCAGGTGATAAATGCATCATTAAGTTTATGAATGTGATGAACGAACTGGACAGCTGACAATCAATTGCGAAACAAAGAAATTATAAGCCTTACTTATCTGAACAAATTGAAGTGATAGGAATAAAGATTACGGTATTACTACTAATGCGAGTAATAAAAAAATAATGAGATTAGCAGGTGACAGCTGAAAATAAAACCTGAAAATTATTTTCATATATTTTTATCAGATAAGAAAATGTAGACTTAGATAATCATGAGAATATTGTGTGAATAGTAGTGATAATATTTACTGTAATGATGGCAGTTGAATTGATGCTTCTTTCCATTAAATAAATAAAACGACTGGCGGCCTGCTTGAATCATTGGGCTACGTGAATTCCCATCCATACTTTGCAACACAATTCATCATTTCTTTTCCATTTCCCGTTGTTTCAACCATTCAGTTATGTCGTTTCACTTTACATGATGTTCATCTGTGCTAACATCAATTGAAACAAATTAGGTATTCCACTTGGATTGATTTTTAATCGCTCCAATAACACCATTCGCATTGAATACACCATTTCTTTGACAGTTGACTTATCTTTGGCTACTGCTGTTCTGCAAGACCAATTGATATTTGATTTCTTCTTCTTATTATTGTTTTCTTTAATTCCTAGAGGAACATAGGGCTTCAGCAACCCGTCTCCGCTGCGTTCGGTTCTCTGCTAGAGTCCTCACCTGGCTCCATGTCTGCACACACGTTTTCATCTCCTCTTCACATGACCTCCTCCAAGTCACTCACCCTCGTACTGACGACCAACTCGCCGTTTCTCTTTCGGGTTCCACTCGAGCAATGGCTTGTCTAGTGATATCACTTGATGGTTTGTTTTCTCTGAGTTTGGCCAGCCAACCCATCTCCATTTCTTCCTGCCTGCCTATTTGTTTCACAATCGGTTCCTGGTTGATTAGTTCGCTCATTGCCAGAGATCCCTCTGTGTTGCTGATCTTTTCTGGCCGGCCATCTGACCTTCAGTAGTATTGAGCGAAGACAACTGTTAATGAAGGTCTGTAGTTTGTTTGAGATGCTATTTATGACGCTCAGTGCGAGTCTCTGATCCGTTTGATGAGTAGCACTGACTGACTTCACATTGGAGTTGAAAATCCGGATCTTATTTTGATACTGACTGCTGTTGATCTCCACACAGACTTGAGAGTAGTGAAAGCTTGTCTTGCTTTCCCGATCCTCACTGTTTTGATATTCTCATCAGTTCCGCTGGCCTGTAGTTGAAACGATGCTTCCCAGGTAGGTCGGTTGGTGAACGAGGTTGTTTCTTTCAGGTTCCTTCCATTTATGCTGATTGTTGTCTGTTGTTGTTGCTGTTGGTGGTGTTGGCCAGGAATCTTCATCACCTCTGTTTTCTCCATGTTCACCTGAAGTGTAGGTCTATCTTTGATGCTTCTTCTGCCAACTTGTTGCTTTTCGATTGCATATCTTCCAGTTTGTGCGAAATCAGACATATATCATCGGCGAAGTCTAGATTCTCAAAGTCTTTTGTGTGAGTCCATTTTATGCCTGTTTCCTCATTGCCCACCGCTGTTTGTCGCATTATCCAATATACTGCAATCAGGATAGCATTGGCGATAGTAGGCAGCCAGCTTGTCTCACTCTTGTCCTCACTTCGAAGGATTCCGTAAGTTTCCCATTGTGGATTACTTCGCATGCAGCATTGTCGTAAAGCTGCTGGATGAGATGTATAATTGTCGGTAGCATCCCGTAGAAGCAAAGTAGTTTCCAAAGCACCTCTCGATCGACGCTGTCAAAGGCCTTTTCAAAGTCGGTGAAGTTGAGATAGAGTGGTGACTGCCATTCCCAGCTTTGATTTATGATATTGATATAAATGAATAGCTTTAAAATGATATCTAAATTATGTTTTGGTACTCTTAATAAAATATACTGTAGTTAATTTCTTATTGTATATAAATGCTAGAAACCCTATTTTTGATTTTTCGTAAATTTTTTATACAAATTGATTTGGGCTTTAGTAGTTATTAAGAAGGCGAATCTATTCTATCTAAGATAGATACTGTGTTATTTATCAACAGACTGTATCTGTATATTTTTGCAAAGACCTGGCATATTCTGTAGAAAATTAATATATATGCATTACTTATTACTGAATCTGGCGAGTTCACTTCTGATCCTGTTTCTCCTTTATGACATTTGTACACACTCCAAGGTTTCATGAGTAGTTAAGTCACCCGGGTAAGTATAAGTAGTAATAGACCAAAGTCAGAATTAAAACGACTTTAAGGTAGATCACTTTAAGGATTATTTTCAGATTGTTTAAGTTTGTAGGGATTTCGATCATTGTGAATTGATAGAAGACAGAGTACAAGGGTTACTGGATTCCACCTCAGGACCTGGATATTCCATGTATCCGTCTTGTAATCTAGAGGTCAACGTATACAATACAGTCACAAAGGAGATCAATCGCGAACACCAATAGCTCACTGGCAACGTCTCTGGGTGCAGCACTGCGTGACGCGGGTTCGAATCTTAGAAGGGACATGAGTTTTTTCAAGTTGGTTGCAGATACGCCTTGCTGATAAGTACAAACCAGCATGAAACCTAGGTCAAACAGGGTATCCTGCCGATTGCCTCCAGCCATCTAATATCAATAATTCAAAGTGCACTGTGACGGTAAGCTACCTAGAATCATGTCCACACTGCAAACCTGACTGATAGAATTCAATCTGCACCAAAGAAAAGATTAGACAAATCACAGTAGTTACCAGTGTCCAACAGTAGCTGGAATCTCTTGTAGGGTTGTTGGTGAACACTAATGAAGAGTCCCATAGCAGGACAAAAAAGCCGTTCAGTGCTGCCTGGTCTTCGATGATTTTAGAAGTGATATTGTTTTTTTCACAAAATTTATACTAAAGTTATTTATTTATTGGTTAACCTGTTCACTAACCGTCAATTTTCACTCTTCTGGAAGGTCTCGGGCTGTTACCCTCAGCGTATGTCCAGTCTTTCTCCATTTACTCCTGGATCTGTTTTGGGGATAAAGATTCTTACTTGATCCACTGGCTGAAAGAGTTTCAAGTTGCCTCTGCTCTCTTCCCATCAATCTAATCTTCATTATAGACCAAAGGGGGCAGCTGTCGATTTTCTGGAGGGCGGAAGATCCCTCACCTACCACTGATTTCAGAAGACTACGCCTGACAGGTAGAATACTAGGAATATCAGAAAATGGAAGGATAATACCATTGTTTATTTCCCCACCTATTACGGGGCAGGACTGTAAGTTACTATTTGCAAAGTATTGAATAAGCGTTGACAATATGTACAATAATACATTTGGTCGTATTTATTCAGTCCTCTGCCAACCAGGATACGATTAGGCGACGAACGCGATTAGTGTCTCCCACCAAACAAAGATCAGATGGAATAAACAAACCACTCAACATTGACAGCAGCTGCTGGTGAAAGTATGCAGCAGGGTACAGGCAAGTACTTTCAGTGATGCGTTTATCAAGTCTCTAAACCACATGCAAGCAGGAACCTCAAATAACTGATTTAGAT